TGGATACTGCTTTAACATTCAGTCCAATGATTGTGCGTTAATCAAAGTAGTAATATAGATGTCCTTTTAAAAGAAAATGGGTAGTAACTGATTAAAAGCAAAACCTTATAGCTTATTAAGATAGCCTGTGCGTTCTGTACTTAATGTAATGACTCTTAGCTTAGTGCTTTGAGATTGTATAAGCCTGAAGCGCTTATTCACCCATATGTTTGCAAAGCTTTTCCGCCTTTGCTTTTATGAAATGTGTAATCAATGCACCCATCTGCTTTCCGCAGCTGCTTATCCAGCATAATATACCCAAAGCCTCCCCCAGGAAGGACAGGGCACAGGGGCCACGTGTACTGCCAGTATAGGGCAGATTAGAGTGTCTTATTCAAAAACTGCATGTCTATGGACTATGGGCGCAGATTCTGATTTCTTTAATTGTATAGTTTATATATGTATGTTAAGGACATTGGATATAAGCTGGAATCTCCCACGCGCTTTCCGTCATTAAGAAATGTTGTTTAATCAAGTGGTATAGTGTCGACCCTTTCGTATGCCGACTTTCCGTATTGCCCTAACCTCTGTGATGTGGAAGGAATGACTATGTGACTGTATACCATCTGTGATTTTTTTTTTTCTTCTTCTCATTTTGATGGTTCTGTATGTGCCTTGTTACTGCTCTGATAGGTATCTCCGTTGCCAAAAAGAGTCGGGTAGGAGCTTTGAGAGAGACAAGCTAAGAAGGCAGGACATTGAAGCCTGGTGAGTTGATCCCTTCACTGTGTCTCTATGCAGAATCGTGCCGGGTTTTATTGTAGCTGAGTGATGGTTCATCTTGTTTTAATTTTAGGCACTTGTACAAGATGGTGGACAGCTGCCGCCAGCTGACCATTTCCCAGAGCAACGGGGACGAGGACACGTCTGGCATGGTGACGATCCTCACAGGACACTCCGTCGAGGACCTGCCAGCTCGTTCCGCCAGTATGAAGGTCGGTGTCCCTAGCAGCAGGCGTTGCTGTTTGTTGTGCTCATGGTGGATGGTTTTTTTCCTCGTGTGGTGACTTGTAGCTTAATGTCACAGTTTTTAGAAAATTGGAGTATATTGTCTTCATGTGACTTTGTTCACTAGTGAGATTTACATAGATCCGAACTGTCTGGAGTAGGTTATGTTTACGAACTGGCAACGTATTCTGGTTTTCCCTTTGTGTAGATTATGATGTTTCATTACATTCCGCCTTGATTCTACAAAACATTACAGCTGTCTGTGCTTTCTACGAAATTTCTAGCTGAATGCTATGACCGTTGATGTGGTCTCACCTGTTAACTCAATATCAGTCATTAGGGACCAAGAGAAAGAAACGAGTTACAGAATTTTTAAGACCTGAGACTTGAAGCGTATGTAAGCGAGAAGAATCTGGTCCGTAATAGTAGGTACCAGGCACTCTGGTTCGAGTGTGTCAGGAGCTACAGCACTGCTGGGTTTCTCAAACAGTGTGTATCTGGGATGGTCTAGCACCAAAAAGAGATCCAGCCATTGCAACACGCTTTGTGGAGCTCATGCCATGTTGAGCTGATCCCAAGGCAAATGTTGGTGAGATGGAATGTATGGAAGGTGCCCTAGTGTTTAGTACATTCACTGTGTGGTTCTAAAAGTTCTCTTAGATGTTCCATAGCTGCTGTGCTCCTCATATTGAAGAACATCTCACCCCCCCCCCCCCCCCCCCCAACCCAGTCTGCTGTCCAGGCAGTGGCAGCGGCAGGCATAGAGCTGAAGAACATTCAGGAGTTCTACCGACAGTGGAAGGAGATTGGCTGAAAGCTCGAGGGGGCAAAGGTCGGCAAGGCGGTCAGCTGATCACTCACTCACTCACTCCCTCTCTCTCCCACTCTTTTGCTCTGTCTGTATCTGCGTCTTTGGGGAAACATAACAAACGAAAGAGAGTGGAGAAAGTGTGACGGTAGAGGAACAGAAGGCACGTGAAATGGGTTTGGGTCGAATAAAGATCAGCAGATCCTTCCCCCCTAACCCAACCCCCCCCAACCAAAGGAAGTGACTTCAATCGTTGGGGAGAGGAAGACAGTTGGGGGGGGTGGGGGGGACATCAGAAATGGTGCCTCCAGTACACGTTTTAACCAGGTATATACTCTATATGAATGAATGACAGTATATACATGACCAGAGGGAAACGTGTGCACACGCAACACACACACACACACACACACTCACACCGACGTATACATATACATAGAAAATTGCTTTTGGTTTTTTATTTCTTTTGTCTTTCTCCTTAAGGTCTTGTTGGGATGTGGAGGAGGCCTTGGTTGAATTTGCATGGCTATTGCCTGGGTTGTAATGGTACCCAGACAATACAACAATCACCTTTTGGTACCCTGGCTTATTGTTAAAAGAAAGTAAACACACGTCCTTCATCTGCTCAGGGTTCATTCAACCCAAAAAACAGTAGCTTAGGGGATGAAACAAAGGGTTCGGTTTGGTGGATGTACACTTCTTTGGGATTGTTTTCTTAAGCGTTTTTTTTTTTTTCCCCTCATTTTGCTGTGTTCCTTTGTGAACAGTGACTAATGTTTGTGCTGTCTACGTATGATGAGGACCTGTAAAATGGCTGGGTTGCGTGCTGGCTCTCTTTTTTTAATTATTTTATTATTTTTTGTATGTTGTATGTTTGCTTTGCCAAGATCTGTTAATGCGGACTGCGGTCTCGAGGTCCCGCTCTCATCCCTGGGTAATGGGTGATGCCCCCAATGTTGAAACTGGGCCAGTCTTGCTCTTCATACAGAACTGATGAGGCAAAGCACCCAGGTCCAGTGAATGTCTGCAAGGATGGGCCAAGGAAAAGGGGGAACGTGGGTCTCTTTAGACCCGCTGTCCCGACAGGTGTGTTAATATGGCTATGTTGGAAATTTTAATGCCCAACCGTGACTCAGCGAACCCCCTCCCCAAATCATTCATCGTCACCATAGTTTCTGTTCCATAATGCACTGTGCAGAGGAATCAAATAAGTGTGTGGCCATGCATTAAACAATAAACGTTTCATTGAATTTCTTTGCCTTTATTTTATTGATAACGCCTAACAGCAGATCCTATGCTGGGTAGGATAAAATTCACCAAATAATGGAAAGAAGTAAACTTTTAAAAGGTAGGAACAAGTTTTTCCTGCACGACAGAAACACTGTGGAATGAGAGGTGAAGGAATTAGACAAAGTTTTGTCTTCTGTATTGAAAATCAAGTCACCCCACTTAAGGGTAAATAAACTGCCGCAGACAGACAAAAGCAGTGATGACTTCACTGTCACATGATTACATTCGTTCAGCCTAGCAATTATTCAGTCTGGCCCAAATGACAGATAATTTTGATAATCACAGGAGTAATGTGTCATGACATACAGGGTATCAAGCTCTATTGGCAATCATGTTACAACCCAGACCACCGTCAAGAGCATCTACAATGGGCACGCAAGTATCAGAACTGGACCTTGGAGCGATCTAAGGTCACCTGGTCTGATGCATCCCATTTTCTGTTGCGCCCTGTGGACAGTCGGACACGTGTTGATCTTCTGTGGGATGCGTTGGACCAACAAGTATGATGCACGTCTACACAGTTCCATGTTACTGTGTGTCATGACAAGCTATTCCCATGATTATCAAAATTATGTCAATTGTGCCACATTATGTATGTCACCCCTTCTGTTGGTTTGTACCACATAGAATAACCTTCATTCACAAATTGCATCGATAAGTCTTGGCTGCCGAACACACTGTCAGCAGGTTGTGGTTCTTCTCTCCTCGGACCACTCTCAGCAGGTGCTCACCACGGCCGACTGTGAGCACCGCACAAGCCTTGCCGTTATGGAGATGTTCTGTCCCAGTCCTCTGACCATAAACTGGCCCTTTTCAAAGTCACTCAGATCTATATCTCAACCAATTTCTTCCGCATTTACGGCAAGTACTTAATGTTACCATCTAACATATCACAGAAGTTGACATGCGCCGTTTTTACAAGACAATATTATTCACTTCACATGGGTTCTGGCTCATTGGTCAATAGAGTGAAATGTTTTTATAATTTGGTGATCAGTGATGACACAGCACACAGTGCACAACAATGAAATGCATCCTCTGCATTTAACCCATATGTGACAATGTGACATAGCAGGGGGGCTGCTAACTCAGCGCCCGGGGAGCAGTGCTTGGGGGCGGTACCTTGTTAACCATTAGACCACCACTGCCCGCAGAGTACAGATATTTTTATAATATATACTTTTAAACCGGGGACCAAATCATAGCCTCCATTTTTGTAATGTAGGCTGACCTGTTACCTGAAAACTCACAGTCCGTAAAATCGTCGGTCAAAGTGACCCAAATCATGCCTGCTATCAGTCCGACCGGCATCATCATGCTCTGTAGTTCTTGTTTCACTGGTAACTCTGCTGCTCTCCTCCGCTCACTCTCTACAATGCTCTGTCTCCTTTTTAAAATCTCTTCTTACACCGCGTCCATCTGCGTGTTCTCTGGACGTCTCGTGTTCCTGCCAGTCCTGGGCTTATGCCCAGTTCTCGTGGCACAAAGAAGCGCTCGATCTCCCGACTGCGCCTCTGCTGCCATCTGAAGCGGAGATAACAAAACCCGGTCCCAGTTTACTGGAATTCCTCATAAGCCTGCCCTCGTGGCCGCAAGAAACCCCGAAGGGTGTGAGGGGAAAAAAAAGGTCCGACTGCGCAGAGCGCGCCCCCCATGAATCACCATTAGGTACCGCACACTCAGTCCAAGACATAAAGTGTAAATATATAAAACCCTCATTTGAACATGAAAAAATATTGCAGGTAGGTAAACATTTTAATGAAACTTTTTAATAAAACAAAATTTTACTGTGGGTTAACTTTATATAAGATGTCCGTCGTGCATCGTGTTACGGGGGTAAAACGCCCTCTTTTTTTATAAATACAGATTAAATGATGCGACAATTGCGCCGCTCGCTTTCGGCCCTCGCCTGATTCCGAACACAGCGTTTCATTCTTGTCCACATCCAATGAAAAAGGGGATGTGATGGAGGAGGGATATGGCCACTGCCGCTAATGTAACCCTATAATCCAGCAGCGGCACAGCGCGTAGGAACGGGGATCGCATATAGATTTATCATGGGACCGTAGTCTTTCGTTTTTCCTACAAGCAACAAAATCAGGATTTTAAACACATTGTCACCTCAGTCAAGATGTGCTTAAATCACCACGCCGCCAAATAAAGCTAAAAGGTTTGCCTCTTATGCTTGATTTTTTTTCTTGGCTTTTCAGGCTGCCTCGACGGTTTTCTGCACATGTATGTTTAATAAACGTCAGTATTACAGCAATTTATTGTCAAGTAGCTTCAGAAAGTCGTGTTTTCTTGTAGTGTCATGATTTTTTGCATTTTCAGTCACTCCCTATCTGGGCGGAATAATTGAGCTTGTTTTACACTTGATTATTTAGCAAGATATTGTAAGGCTAGAATAAAGATCATATATAACTATCGTAATGTAAAATACGACTTAGTTATAAGTCATATTGATTATGATTTGCAGTTTAAATTCCATTGCAGAAATAATTGACGAGAAAACTTACGGGCTTGTGTGTAAGGGAGAGAGAATGTGTCGATTGGTGCTTTTTATGATGTTGAAGGAAAAGTGTTATACTCTGTCGATCTGCTACGTACGTTACAATGAATGCATAAAATAAATCAAATCGCATAAATATTTTGGACCACATAGAAACTACCTGCTGCATGTACCAAGAATTATATGAAACTTTTGAAGTATGTTTTCTGAATTACGGGAAAGTACTACGAGTTTTTGCAGGGGTGGAAACCAGCACATCCCGTGAAACTCACATATTAACATTTTTAGGCACCCAGCCAAAGAATCTTTCACAACAATGTGTGTAAAAGTTAGAATGATCTAATTGTTTGCGACAACAAATGTATTTAAGCAGAAAGATTTGTATGTTGATCTTTTTAATGCCAATATTTGACAGTGAAAACTGAGGAACGCGCCGTCAATCGCTGAAATCCTGTCAGTAAAACTGTTTTGTAAGAGTGTGAGAGGAGACTGGGCCTCTTAGCTTCCTGTCATTCCGAATCTCCCCTGTGCAATATCCCTCCCAGTTCGCCGGAGCCCACTTTCAGTCTCCTTCTGGCAGGAAACTTAATCCTCGTGCACTGAAGCACAAGGGAAAGCCATGCCTATAGTTTTATATATATATATACCCAACGCTTCATTCGTAAGTAATTTTTCTGAGGCGCTATAATGCAAATTTAATATAATGCATAAACGTAATATAATATTATATGCTAGATCTGAAAAGTATAATTTTTAACTGCTTAAGAACATCTAATTACACCTTAAAAGATGTGCAAATTGGAAGTAAGGAAAAAGTCTGAATAAATGTTAATTATATGTATTTTATTTGGAACATTAAGATAATTGCTAACATTAAAAATATGTCCTGTACTTTTGGCTCGTTTTATCATCGTATTAAAAAAGGCAAAATACTATGTCTAGTGTTTGATCATGTCCATTGCTGTTACGGTGTGGCCTGCTGGGAATGTCGCTTTAACTTATAAACATCCTCATAAAGATATTTTCCTGCAGTATAAAAGATGATGGAAACATAATTTAATATGTCTTACGTCTTTACCTAGTTAACACATTACTGTGATCTATACTGCTGCATTTTTTTGACATAAATGGTGATCTGGTCTCCGTGGAAATCCTAAGTAATTGGTAACACCATCCCCAACAGGAAGCCCTTCCGGTTCCCGATGCTCAGTCCTGTACGTTGGCTTGGTGGCTGCATGCTCACTTCAGAACTGCTTCCACGCATTGATGCTTTTAAGAGTGTCTTATATGGGCTGCTTGAAGTCATGCTACATTTCAGCTGAGTCAAAGTCATGACATGCTGGATGCTGAAATGACCTGATGCACAAGATGTGAAATTTCTTCTATTTGTGCCAATCTGCTGCAGATTTACTTGGATTATCCCTCTCACTGAATGGGGTCATTTACAAGACATTCTAAATTAAAAGTGCTGTTCAGTGTAATTTCACTGTCTGGGGGCTCGGCGAGCTAAGCCTCTGTGGCTGTGATTGGAAGGTTGCCGGTTCGAGCCCGGTTTTGGCGGAATAGTCATGTCTGCGGGTCGTTAATTGAGCAAGGCCCTTAACCCCCCCCAGCTCCATGGGCACTGCTGCAGGTGGCTTCCAAGCCTGCTGTCACCTATATATGTGTCTCTGTGTCATGGAGAGCAAGACGGGGTAAGCAAGACGAGAATTTCCCCGCAAAGGGTCAATAAAGTGCCTTTATTATTATTATTGTTGTTGTTGTCTAGGATAAAATGATGCGGAATTTATCTTATGACTGTAGAATAAAACAGGATTGATATGGTATTGTTTATGTATATGAATATTTCTGTGGTGCCCAAGTAAAGTAGCACACCAACGGAAGTTAGCGCGGGCATTACTTGCATACTCTGCAAAGTGCGTTTTGATAAAGTAATGCTTCTCCACGGCAAAGACTCGTCATTGTGTATGACACAGATGGCCATTGAAAGGAGTCATGTGATCATGAGCGAATCACAAGCGAGGGGAAAAAAAATGCGACTCTTAAGGAGGAGAGTGGTCAAGACGGAACACTAGAGAAAGGCAGGGGCACCGCTAGAGATTGTAGGCCCCATGAAAGCATATTGGGCCCCCAATCTACAACAATCCAATTATGCTTAAATTTTTAGGGGGTTGTAACTCAGAGACACTTAGTATGGTTCTAACTCACATCCCCTATACAGCACATCTGGAGTAAGGGAATAGCTAGTACTTCTGGAGTAGCTAGTACTTTGTTTTATTTATATATATAATAATTTCTGTTATCATAAATACATGAGTTCTATTATTCATTATTCTGAATTATGCAAGAATAGAGCACAATGGATTTCCAAGCAAAGGACATTAGGTGAAGGTAGACATATGCTGTGGAAGAAGGTCAGAATAAAAACCAGGGAAATTGATCCCATTCTTAATTGGAACCTGGAGAAGACATTTGAAGCAGCAGCCTTTGCCTTTAATAACCTTTTAGCTGTACTGTTACCATTACTGTTGGTTACAACTTTCTTTAAAAGTGCCGTTCTTGCTGGTGATTTTTTTCTGTCTCTGTTTCCTGTTGAGCTCTGGTGAGGAATTGCAATTCTGAGATGGGTTGATGTGCTGATCATTAGCCACATGCTGGCTAAAATGCCAGAATGGGAATACAAAACTGCAAAATTTTGTTAAAGTCACAGCTTCTATATAGCAGTTATAGTTTCTTCTTCTGTTTTTCACTGTTGTGTTGTTGGTCACTCTTACTTCATGTATGTATTCTGCAGAGATTTGAGCTTTTACTTTTTTTTTGTCTTAAATGGTTACCTAGGAGGGTATTTTTAAGGATATTTTGGACAGGCGAGTCTTTAGCCACCTTAGCTCAGGAGGTCCTCCCACGGCTTACTGTTATTGGCTGGATTGAATCAAAATTAAGTGGTATCATGGCCTCTTCAAATCAGAGCAGTCTTTTCCTATTATCCCTGAGGTGGTCTCACTTCTTGCCCTCCCCTGCTTTTGGCAAGGCCTTGTCTGCTCATTCAGCTATTTTTCTCTCTTCGGCAGTGGAAGAGAAATGGAAACAAAGAAAGTGTATCCATTTACAGGTTCTTTTCAAGTTTGACATTATAAATGTTTAACAGGGCATAGAGATGTAATGCATACAACTATGGTGTGAAGTTTTTAATGACAGTAAGCAGTGAAATATCTTAAAATGTTTCAAAAATACTCAATGCATATTTTTAATGGAGTTTCGTTATTCCTATTAATTGTTATAGACAAACTGGTGGAGTAAAGCATTGCAATAAAAAAGCTTAATTGTGGTAAGGTTATGAAATTCACACAGTATTAAACAATACAAACAGCACAAAACCATAGTATACACCAGCTCCCACATATCACATGTCAGCTTACTGTTTTAAACTAAACCATGATTCATATTGTACAGCTGTCCTGTTCAGACTGTATTTACCGAAAAGGTGGTATTTTGTCATTCAAGAGGTTTACTACGGTTTTACAGATACTGGAGATTTGAAGCTTGCATTCTCATCCACAGGTCAATTTGACCCACATAAGACCAATGCATAGTGCACTGGACAGTGAAAGACGAGATCCCAAGTTCCTGAATGGCCATAGGAGCCAGACAGCAAGCACATAGTCATCAATGACGAGTGCTTTTCTCAGTCTCTCCAAGGCTGTTCAAACTCTGGATTGTCAGCATTCCTTGCACTGGTCCACAGGTCACCAGATCTACAAAGTAGCTTCTCTGTGTCTGAGATACCAAGGGCCAAGCAGGTGCAATTAATATATACGTCTCAACTCGGGAATCTAAATTTGAGAGGTCATATTGCAGACTTATATTACAGACCACACGCTTTATCTGTCATAGATGAGGGTTTGCACCAACTGTGTAGCCATGAAAAGATCAGTTGCTATGTGCTGTATATGTGCTATGTGGTGGAAGTGTGTCAGAGTTTATCAGAAGCTCTTGTTAAGTGTGCCTGGCTATGATGAGGAGCTGCTAGCTTAATAAAGCGGGATTTGATTGTACCAAACTAGAGGTGTGAAGTTACATGGCTTCCCACTGAGCCACATCGACCTAACGCAATCCCTGTGTTTTTAATTCTAAGAGGCCTGTCAAATAATCAGACATATACAGTAACTGTCACTGCATGGACGAGGCCACGGGTCACACCCATCCATCAAAGAGCCAGATCGCCCTGGAGAGGATACCATTCCATCACAGGGAACACAATATGGGCAATTTAGAGACACCAAGTCAAATTTTTCTGGATTTTGGGAGAAACCTGGAATACTCAGAGAAACCCTGTGCAATCTGGGAATAGCATGCAAGCTCCGTACACGAGGTGGGAATCAAACCCCCCAGCACTGGATCTGCCACCCACTGGCACCCCAGATTTTTTAAACTGTAGTCTACCCAGCAGTCTGTTCTTGCACTGCCTCCTGCTTTGACTTTCTTGATCTGTAGTCCCTCCCACCCTAGAGATAGGTCTGTTTCTGAGTATTTTGAATTTCTTGCTTTGATCTATGATGGTTTCCGAGATATTACTTTTGGGACCGTGGTGCTGTCTTCCCAGGATTCACACCCATTAGTTCCATAGCAGATACCTGATGTGTCTTCTTGCTCTGTGACGCTTCAGTTCTCGATGTTTATGAAATGATGATGTCTGATTCCCCCCCGGGAAGATGGCGGAGTGTCCGTCAGACTCGGCCCATTGTCCTATCCAGCCCGCGGCTCACATTCCTGTCCTAAGCACAGCCCGTTCTCATGGTCCGACGTGTAACAGTCACTCCTCAGCCTACACTTTCCAGAGTGTTCACAAAGCACACATTGTTCACCCCCCTCTGCAGAGAGAAAGCTCACAGCTGTATCACTGCATGAGGGGGGGGCGGAGTGGCAAACCTCTCTGTGCTCCTGTCATGGAATGAGACCTGCGTGATTCTTCAGGGAAAAAAATGGAGGGAAACGATTTCATGTCTAGCTGGATTTTAATTAATAAAAGAACTGTTGTGCCATTTACGGCAATGTATTGTTATTCCTATAGTGCTGAATCTGAATCTACCACAGTTAAAAAAAAAAATAAGTATCATTTCTGGGTTGTAGGTTTATATTAAAACTCCGTCCATCCATCCATCCATTTTCTGACACTTATTGGGGGTCGGGCTCCCTCACACCAGCCTTCTCCTCCAGCTCCACCGGTGGAATACCAAGGTGTTCCCAGGCCAGCCAAGAGATATCATCTCTCCAACATGTCCTGAATCTGGGGTCACCTCCCAGTTGGACATGCCTGGAACATCCCCCCTGGGAGGCGTCCAGTTAGATATCCTACATAGATGCTTGAACCACTTCAACTGACTCTGTTTGATGCGGAGGAGCAGTGGCTCTCCCTTGACCTCCTTCTGAATGTCCAAGCTCCTCACCCGATCTATAAGGCTCAGCAGAGACACACTGCAGAGGAAACTCATTTCTGCCCCTTTTATCTGCGATCTCATTCTTTCAGGCAGTACCTAAAGATTGTGACCACAAGTGAGGATAGGAATGTAGATCGGCTGGCAAATCAAAAGCTTTGCCTTCAGCTCTTGCTTCCCCAAGACAGAACACTCCCTTCTTCCCACACTCGTGAACAAGACCCGAAGATACTTAAACTCCTCCACTTGAGGCAGTAACTCCTCCCCTATCAGGAGAGGTCAATCCACCCTTTTCTGTTTGAGAACCATGGCCTCAGACTTGGAGGTGCTGATCCTCATCCTGGCCGCCTCCCACTGCATGCATGCACCTGCAAACAAACAAATAACTGCTATCCTACACAAATGGCTGCACACTTAGATGCTTATGACTGCTAAGTAATGAGTCCTGAACAAGGCACTCAGGACGCCTTCCTCAGCAATGCATTTACCTTTAATACTTCATAAGTGCCGATAGGCGGTGACTACAGACACATAGTACCAGCCATGGTCAGAGAAGCTGGAGGTAGGACCCCACAGGGAGTGTGCTGCCTATTTTTGTCAGGAAGCGCAGCCTTAATATTTAAGTGCTGAGTGGTAAAGCTTTTAATAACCCGTGGTGAAGAAGGGTAAGTTAGGAGCCATGGAACTGTGGGGGGGGGGCATCAGTAAGAATGGCATAATGAACAATCATGAAAAAAATCACCTTAAAAAAAAAACGATAAAATTTTATCAATAAAAGCCCATTATTAATTTTGCTCCATCAAATATTTGTTTTAGTAAATATGCCCCCCACTCCTGCCGTGAAATTATGCCCCCCCCACCCCATTTAGGTGTATTCTGTGGTCCATGGGAGCATGGGCTCCGTGGGGAGTCCTTGAACATGGGCTATGCCCTGTCGTCTCCTTCGTGTCCTGCCTGCTGCAGGACCATCTCATTTTGATAGTGACCAAAGAGGACCAGCCTCTACTGTAGATGTCATAAAACCCAGAGCTTCTTGTCTTCAGTAGAGCAGCACAGTAAATCCCTCAGAAGATGCCGGGTTGCATGGCACCCATTGGGAAATGCAGGGTAAACTTGCAGCGTTCCCCTCTGAATTTTTAAGAACGTTTTATGGAATGTGGGCCTCTCGTTTCCTGTGCTTACATACAAAAATGTTGTTTATGTCGCAGGCCAGTAGAGACTTGTCTCGGGATGGAGGGCTGGATAAGATTCCGGGAGGTACATGAAAGCCTAAATATCAGCGCTGCTTTCCTATGGCCTGGCGACAGGGGGGGGGGGCTCGAGCCAGGGCTCTGAAGCATGGCTCCGCCCGTAACGCACGCTCTCCTCCTGGTCTCCTCCGCAGTCCCTCCTGTGCAGTGGCCTGGCCGTCAGGCTTGGGCCAGAGTCCAGTGTGAGCGGCGGGAGATGATGGAAGGGGCCCGACCCCCGCAGCTGGAGTGCCCCATGTGGTGTGTGCTGTGCCAGGGGGGGCAGGCCTGGCTGCAGCAGGTGCGCCGGTGGGCGGCTGAAGTCCTCTGGCTGCCGACGGGCTCTCTGGGCTTCAGGCTCCCCCAGCTCTTCGATATCCACCAGGTTCCGAGGGTGAGTGGCCTTCATAGCGAAGTCAGCAAAAACTGGGGGCGCGATGTGACTCAGTGGGTTAGGGTGCTGTGTATGTGAACGGAAGGTCGCTTGTTTAAATCCCCGTGTCAGCAGAGTGATTTAACTGTAGGGCTCCTGAGCAATACTCTTAACGCCCAAATGCTCCAGGGATTGTGTCACCCAGCCTTCTGAAAAACAAATGTCAGTTTCCATAAATGTATTTGCTGAATAAATAAAATGAAACTCAGACAGATACAGTGTTGCATGAGTAATACAAGGTCTGTTTTTCATTCAAATGAGTTTCCCTATCAATATGTCAGTGATTAATTATCTAGTCTTCACAGCATAAATCATATTTTAGAGAGGCAAGTACTATTAAACAGGTATTTAACAGCAAGTTTCTTCTGGTCAGGGACCTCCTGATCCTCAGTAGATTCTTTGTAATTCTGCACATCACAGTTTTACGCTGGTTTCTGCATTAGAACCTGCTGTCTCACCTGCTAGCGTGTGTTTGCCGGCATGCATTTCTGCTGGCATGCATTTCTGCAGGTATACCAAGAGGAAGGCATCATATCCGGGTACCGCCACCCCCGCAGCTCGGCGCTGGACTGCGTCCTCAGCAGCTTCCAGATGACCAACGAGACCGTCAACATCTGGACCCATTTCCTGGCCACTTGGTAAGCGGCCGCTGGATGGTCCACGGGCTGCAGACCCCAGTGAGGCTCTACCTCGCTTACCTTTCATTGCATTTAATGGTCGTGCATCTCTCATGCTCCTCACTCAAGCCCAACATCAGTTATAGGAAACAAGAAGAAATTACGTTTCTTTCTTTTTGATTATGTTGTATTTTTCTGTACGCAGGCATAACATTAGTCTGCAACTATGTTCTAGCACCAATGCATTAGACAGTCTAGCCATTCTAGGCACTGGTGTGCATCTTTTCAAAGCGTCAAGGAGTTGTCAAGCTTTCCAAAAGTATGCTAGTAGCAGATATTCATGACATACCCATTAAAATATCACAGATGCATCAAGAATTACTTCAGACTGGATAATTACACTTGTTAAGGACTTTATGCTTATTTACCCACTTATTACCAACAAAGAAGTGCTCACATTACATATGTTTACATAGAGCCACTGCTACACTTTGATTCACTGTTGCTCTGACCCTGAATTATGCTGCTGTAAGTGACGTGTCTTGCCAGCACTCTCCGGTCAGTGTCAGATAAGTGTCAAATATGCATAATTTATTTTCTACTATTAGAGGCACTTAAAGGATGCATGGGAATATGTGCAATCCATTGTCACACAAGAGTCTCAAGTTCAGAGCTCAGTCACTAAGAAGTTTTGCTATACATAGATTTGAAATGGTAACGAATCACATCTGTAATATTAACAAAAGTACATTAATCCATAACGCTTAAAAAAAAAGCCTTTTCCCTTTTTCTTTTAATCTGCAACCGGCAATTAAATCTCACCGTTGGCCAACCTCCCTGCCTCCCACTGCATAACGCCCACGTGGACCTCAGAGGGGTGAAATCTAGCACATGCCTCTCCTGATCTGCATGCCAGCGGCCACCTGCTTCCTGTCGCCCTACGGAACTGTTGGCTTTTTTCTCCAGGCCTTTCACTCCAGGGTTTCCCAATCCAGTCCTCAGGGAGCCACAAACATCCACATTTTTGCTCCCTCCCAGCTCCCTGCCAGACAGTTCACATTTATGTTCCCTCACTTGAGGAGTGGATTGTGATACACTGCTCTATCAGAGTTGGAGGAAGGCACTGTTCAGTGGCGGAGAAAGTACTAATTTACCTAAGTAAAAGTACAAATAAACAGGCAAAAATGTACTCTAGTAAAAGTACCTTGTTGGCCTTCCTACTTAAGTAAAAGTAAGTACTTACTTGTAAATATATTTACAGTATTAAAGTAAAAGTACTTGAACATGTAGTCCCCACTGCAACTGTGTAACATGGCATTAAGTATGTCAACTGTACATATATTTTGTTAAATACAAAAATTCAGGCATGAAAGTGTATTTTCCAATCTAAACATTTAAATCATGAAATACTAGTTTATAAGTGCTTCAGAAAGATTAACCAGCTACAATGATTAATGCCATGTGGTTCAACAATAGTTCTAGTACTGATACATGTGTGTAGCGTTGTGCGATATATATCGTGTGACGATAGACCAATGTCTACCAATATGATATATATCATTATTTGGATATGAGAATTTGGTCTTATTGCAAAGTATATGGCAACAGGATGCAAAATTTTACACTTTTGTCATGACATTATCCACATGCTATTCACAATTTACCAATAAGTTAGCCTGATCACAAACATCCGAGGATCACCTCCTGCCCTTTCCAGAGTCACAAAATACTCCAGCCAAAGGTTTCATTTTGATTTTATACAGTAAATGTTTCTGCTGACAGGATTGAAAACCTCTGACACGGGCTTTACTTTGACAAAACAAGTCCCAAAATCTCTGTATTTTCTGTCCCATTACTACCTTTCCTTGTCATCATCTGATTAAAAAAAAAAACCAAAAACAACATGATTGTAAAATCACACTACAAAACTAAATAGGAATGTAGCATAGTACTGTACAAAGTATTAGTACTACACAAAAGATCATGGTTTTCAATTTATACTTGTTTTACTACTTCCTAATGGCACAGCAGAGAGTTTGATATTGGGGGGGGGCACACAATTATTTAAATGTAAAGGTCTGTTTATTGGGGGGTATGTATGAATCCAAATTAAATGGAGTTAGTATTAGAGGTCCATTTGGTCAGTGTGATTCATAGGATTATACTAGAAGCTGATGCCCTGCAATTCTGTTTCCCTTTAACTTCACTGCCTCGCTCTCTCATGATGACAGCCGCCCCATTCCCCCGCAGCGAGCGGCTCCGCCAAACGCCCCCCTCTCTCTGACGAGCGCGGCGGGCCGACCGCCCTCTCTCCCTTGACAGGTACTTCCTGTGGCGCTTCAGCATGCTCTGCGGCTCTCTGGACTTCCTGTCGGAGAGCTACACCTGGCCCCTGCTGGTCTACATGCTGCTGATCTGCCTGTATCCCTTCACCTCCAGCTGTGCCCACACCTTCAGCACCATGTCCCCCGAGTCGCGCCACATCTGCTACTTCTTTGACTATGGCGCCATCAGCCTCTACAGCCTGGGTATAACCGGCCCCCCCGCCAAGGCCCACTGTGCTGCCCCTTAGCACCTCCCTCAGTGCCTCCCTTAGCACCTCCCTCAGTGCCTCCCTTAGCACCTCCCTCAGGGCCTCCCTTAGCACCTCCCTCAGTGCCTCCCTTAGCACCTCCCTTAGCACCTCCCTCAGTGCCTCCCTTAGCACCTCCCTCAGTGCCTCCCTTAGCGCCTCCCTCAGTGCCTCCCTTAGCACCTCCCTCAGCGCCTCCCTCAGGGCCTCCCTTAGCACCTCCCTCATTGCCTCCCTTAGCACCTCTGCCAGGGAATCTCCTGTTTCTCTCCTTGTTTTGTCTGAACAGCTGTAGCCACCTTGCAAATGATCCGCATCCTTGGTAAAGATCTTTCCACCATTCAATCCGTATTCCATAACCGCTAATCCAATGAAGGACCTCCATGAGCTTGGAATATATCCCAGGGTGCAAAGCGAAAAAGGTGGCATACACCCTGGACAGGATGCATTCCAGTTTATTATAAATAATAGAATCAGCCACAGATACACATTTCAGAAATGATTCATTCCTAAAAACAAGTGGTATGATCACCCATTTTTTTCAGTAGGTATTGTGACCTCCCTACAGCTGATTGGCCATCCACTGGTGTGCACAGCAAATGAAATGTGCTTTTTCTGACCATAGGTCTTGGTTCCAGTCCAACTGAAAATGCTGTTTTGTCAAGAAAAAACTTCTGACTCTTCTGAATAGCCTTGTGGCTTGGAAGGGGTGCTTCACTGTAAATTTGGGGACTTGGTAGCCCAAAGATAAAACGTCATAGTGATCAGTGGTATATTTAGCATTTTACATATTTTTGTGCTGCTGGGAAGGTTAACAGCCTTCTGTTCTTTCCATTTGTGAGATCTTCGCATTTTCCTGTGGTGATGAATGACATGTGATGGCTGCTATGGCGACGTATGTGTGTTCACACTCCAGAATACCACAATACAGCTGCTCAGACTGATATTGATACAATAATAATTACATAAGAATGCAAGAATGCCCTGTTTATAGTGTAAGATATAGATGGAATATAGGTAAGATATCTGGAAGTGACTATAAAGAATTCTTGATTTGCTTTAATATGATAATATAGTATAGTTAAAACTGTATGTTTTCCCTCTGCATATCACTTGTCAAGCATGTATGATACAGTCAGTGACTTGGCAGCTGGGGTTGTGATACACAGTGCTGGGAAGGCATTATCATGATCCACACTGCTTTTGTCTCTATATCTGCATGATGACCCAGAACTAGATAAGGTCGGTGGATGGATTCAAAGGGAATGACTGTTTTAACTGGAGGTGTTTTCCTTGGCTTTCTGTTTACAGGTTGTGCCATTACTTATGGATCTTATGTGATGCCCGATTGCTGGGTGAACACCTGGCTGCATGAGTACTTTGTAGCTTTGGCTGTTGGGAACACACTGGTGTGCACTGGACTGTCCTGCTATTCCAGGTAAGAGGCGGAACACACAGTGTCCCAGCTGGGCATAATTTGAGCTTGTGGGTTGATTAGCTAATGACTGTGTGCTGTGCATGAGCTTGTCTGACGAATCATCCGCATTTACAGCAAGAAATATCAGGTATCACTGCATGACCTCTTTGTGGTCTCTACTTAAAAGTGTTTCCATTTTAATGATTAATGGCTGATGACATCTGTCTATAGCAACAAGAGCAATTATTATTAAAAGCATTCAATTTTGATGTGTGTGGTATAGAAGATTCACAAATACTGCATATAATTAGTAAAGTGCACATAACCTTAAGAGTATCTTTCACATTATTATCAATGATAAATCTTTTTATAGGCTCCTTGAGATGGAGTTTCCCCGCAAGAGTAAGATCTTGAGGACGGCAGCTTTTGTTTATCCCTTTATCTTCGACAATATCCCCCTCTTTCACAGAGTGAGTAGATTCCCCCTGGGTAGGAGTGAGTAATGCCTGGAAGCTCTTCACTGCAGAACTGTACCTGAGTGTCACTGCATGGGCTCTCATCTCCATAGCTGCTGCTGTGCTGTGGAGATAGCTTTAGCCACAACGAGGCCTCGTCCAGCCACTGTTACCACCTGATCTTCGCCTTTCTCACCTGCTTCCTGTTCACATCACACCTCCCCGAGAGACTGGCCCCAGGACACTTCGATTTCATCGGTGCGTCCGTTCGTCTTTAGTTTTCTGTCTTTCTGCCTCAAAGTCCTTTTCAAACCCTATTTTGTAATGTTGACCCAAATCTCTGTTTCCTCCCTTAATCATAGTACTTGTTTAAATATGAATTATAAACAGCAGGGCTGCTCAATTTTGCTCCTGGAGATCGACCACCATACAGAGCTTAGGTACAGCCATAATTTAACACACCTGATACAAATAATCAGTTAAGCTTCAGCATAGTTCTCATCCTGAGATGATACTAAAAAGCTGGATTATCTGTAATATCTATTGTTTTTTTGGTTTTATCCCATTCCATATCCCATATCCCATCACGTCCCTCTCCAATCTCTCAAATCCAGGCCACAGTCACCAGCTCTTCCATATCTGTGCTGTAGTGGGCACACACTTTCAGATGGAGGCGCTGTTGGCAGACATGACGTCACGCAGCGCCTGGCTGATGGTCAACACCGCTGTTCCGTCGCTCCTGGGCACCATAGGGGCCCTGGTCCTGGGCGTCCTGCTCAACCTTGGCATCATTGCCGTGTTCAGCGCTGCTCTGCTCAGGGTGCCGGGTCGCAGGCCTGCCAGTCACGCTGTCGCCGCCCAAGGCTGCCCTGAGCTCAAGGAATAATGAAGGTGCTCATGTCACGCGTTAATCACATGCTCAGTAGTGTGTTTGACATGCTCGTGTAAACACCTCACTCAACCTCTGACGGTGACCTTCAGAGACCTCTGGAATTTAAACTCTTCTGTCAGCCTCAATACCCTGTGCAGTTTGCCCTGGGTGATTTTTAAACACTAGCATGCTAAAACTTTTATTTAGGTTTTATTATGCACTAAGATTAAGACCCAGCTATAATCAAAATGGCCACCCCTAGAATCCTGACATGCAGGTAATTTAGGAAGTATTATCATTTTTTCTGAGATGTATATGAAGTCAGAGATGGACATGAAGTCACAAAGTACAAAATATCTGGCAAAGCTAAAATCATGGTATGACCCAATTATGCAAAAATCAGTTAAATTTTACTTACGATCTATTAATTGTTGTACTCATGTTACATTTGTTTATTTCTTAGGCCAATACTAATCAAACTACGAAAGAGAGCTGTCAGTAAAATGATTTTCAATATATAAATCTCAGCCGTACCCAGATATAGGATTTCCCTCAGCACTAACTGTGCACGATAACAATCTTTAACATTCTGTGTATTTAGTTCAGTGCCTAATTGTGTGGTGGAGTCACCTTCTCAGTTATTCCCTAAAGTTCACTAACATTAACTAAGGTTTCTTTTTTTTTTTAACTAAGTAAATATATATATTTTTGAAAAGGTGCTTTCATTTTTGACATTATGTCAATGGTAGATCAAAAGTACATTTTTAGTTCTCATTCCAGAGCACTGGAAAAAGAACTACCAAAGAGTGCGGATTAGTGTGTTTACAGACAAGTGCCAATCTGTAAGTTAAAAAGGACCACATCTTAATGGCTTTGCAAACTTTAAAACTGGAGATATTTAGTTTTATCCTATTCGTTAGGAGCATTTTTAGCATTCTTAATTTTTTAACAAACCAATTAATAAGAACAAAATGATAATTTTGCACTAAAATAATGGAACAGCCACATGAGTTAGTTGGTGTGTATGATCACCTTAAAAAGAATATGTAATTAGAAATATATAAGCATAGATCTAAGGTTTTCAGAAACACATTTTGCACACTGAAAACAAATAAAAGATGCATTGTTAAAATGTGTTGAATAGGTAACGAAACTTTCTAGAATAGTCCTTATGTCCGCAGGTAGAGTATGCAGTTGTCTTTTCATAACTGTGATAATGAGAAATATTGTGTTAAGTGCAGTTATGTCTCTCAGACACATGAAATTTGGCCGATTTGCTTCCTGAGATTTGGTTTGAATTATGTGTAAGTGCCTTCGTCAAAATTGCCTTGCCCACTTTTTTAAAGCATTTTTCCCTGAGTTTTAGTCATGTGGAGTAGTGAGCTATCAAAAAGATTAATGGATCAGGAAGGTAGGGTAAGTGACATCATGGTTAGTGGGAGAGATGTGTAGCGCACTTGAGGAAAGTCCTGAGTTTTACGTGGGACTTCAATAGAGATCATGCAGCAGATTTTACAAAATAAAGCAAAGCTTTACCGTATGAGAAATGCGAGATGGTCAGTGAAAGTCGTGCTCCGGAAAGAAGGACGACTGCATTTATTTCTTTATTTATTACGTTCAGAAAAAAGTAATGGTAAGCTACAACTGTTACCACTTCTTTCTGTTTCCTTGAATAGAGTTGATATCGCTGTAGTTTTTAAGCCTTAAATTCATTAACCAGTGGATTATCCATAGTGTGTGATTGAGACAGAAACCAACACACGCTAACGCTTAACTGGTCCAAATGACAGTTACCTCAACCTGATTGCCTATTTCATGTTTCTAGCTGGTCGCATCTCCTAACCTTGCTGATAAAAGTATGCAGATCAGTTTTCTGTTTGCATGTAAAACTGTGTGAAACCCAACCCCTTAGAGGAAATTTCATGGGGCTCCTATAGCCTCATGACTAGCAATCTAAAAGGACAACGGCTGCTTGGAAGTCCTATGAATCCCAAAAACACTGAGCATGATGAAAGTTCATGCTCATTATTGCACATTGTTAAGAATTTAAGAATTTAATACTAATAACTTTGTGATACTTATCTATAATCGGTGTGAAACCCTTTTTCAACAGTATCTGTTGATTTATGTGACTATTTCAAAGTCGGACATGCCATATTTGTGAAAACAGTAGGAGATAAACCTTCCGTTGCCTTCGATGTGGTTGCTTTCACGTTACATTGCCGATAATAAGCTACAGGACTTCAATTCCACATCCAGCCGACTGAGGTCATCGGCAAACAGCGCGGACCTGCACAGTAAATTCAGCGGTCTATTTGAGCTTATACAGACTCTCAAAGGGCTGATTTAAGCCTGTTGGTTTTGCTGTATACAGGATCTAGAGTGTTGTTTGAAATTTACATCTACAGAAATTTTGAATGCATCAAATTGAATATTAGAGATTTATAACTTTAGAACTATGTAGAAAAAGATTTTTTTTAGTTAATCAAGGTGCTTTCCACTGGATTTTGAAGTGTTTTTTTTATTCATGCTTAAATTTTAGTTCTTTGTCCTTCAAAAGGGCACAAGATATTTTGAACAACTGTTCACTTTGAATTGTTGAGTTAACTTGTTTACTTGGGAAAATATTCTGTTTAACATTTATATTTACTACATAAAGCAACAAAGTTATACAGTGTTTTTGGAATAAAAATGACTGACTACATTCTTGATGAGATTTATGGGTCTATCTCTGAATGGAAAATGTTTTTTTTTTGGTGTGACAGGAATAAAACCATTTTATATTGTTATAAAATTATATACATGAATACTTGCAATTGTTGGAAAAATTTTATTCACAGACTTAATTTTTTTTTGACAAATTTATATATTAGACAACTGTATATATTTTTATACGTTTTGTCTAATTTAGTACACACATGCACACAGTTTACACTATTATAAAAAACACAACTTCATAGTTTCCTTTATGCATTCATTTATTTTTCAGTCAAGTCTTATCTGGTTAGAGTGATCTTGAATCTAAGCAATTAAAATGATTAAGAGCGGTGAAGACTCACAGACACAGCCAGGAAGACTCACAGACACAGACTCACAGGCACAGCCAGGAGGACTCACAGACACAGACTCACAGGCACAGCCAGAAGGACTCACAGACACAGCCAGGAGGACTCACAGACGCAGCCAGGAGGACTCACAGACACAACTAGGAAGACTCACAGACGCAGCCAGGAAGACTCACAGACACAACTAGGAAGACTCACAGACGCAGCCAGGAAGACTCACTGACGCAGACTCACAGGCACAGCCAGGAGGACTCACAGACACAGACTCACAGACACAGCCAGGAAGACTCACAGACACAGCCAGGAAGACTCACTGATGCAGACAGGAAGACTCACAGACACAGACTCACAGACACAGCCAGGAGGACTCACAGACACAGACACAGCCAGGAAGACTTACAGATGCAGACAGGAAGACTCACAGACACAGCCAGGAAGACTCACAGATGCAGACAGGAAGACTCACAGACACAGACTCACAGGCACAGCCAGGAAGACTCACGGACGCAGACAGGAAGACTCAGCAGCCCTAAGCAGCGTTCGCTTTGATTGGTCTAACAGTAAATGCCAAGCCATCTGAGAACCTGGTGTATCTATAGTGTCCCTTCCAGTGATCATATTTTCATTAGCTTTCATTTTTTTCATGCTTTCACAAAACTTTAGGAAATTGATGAAGGGATGGGATTTTCTTTTAGTTTTCTCAATTTTAATATACTCTTCCACATTAAAGTGGATTTTATAAGAGTAGTTTTAATTAAGAATCTTGCTAAAGGGTACAACAGCAAGGTACTTACCAGAATTTGGACTGATAACCTTCTTAAGCGCATTTACATTGATTAATGAACACATTCAAATACTGTTCAATTTTTCCTTTTTCTCTCCATGTTTCAGAGGAAAATAAGTATTTTACTCCCCCTAGTGGCCACTTAAACAGGAATTTCTAAATCCTGCTGGAGCCATGTATGGTCTTCATACCAAGGCACATGGTTAGGCCTCCTTAGATCACATAGTAACCTTGATACTGAGAAAGGGTGAAGATTCCTAATTAGGGAAGTGCTTAGAGCTCATAAGAAAATACAGATGAAGGAAGAATCTAAACTTGCTGGGTTGAGATTTGCACACTCTACTACTTTAGCTGATTCTCTGTGCTGTTGTTCCTTTTGCATTGTTTTTTTTAGCCGGTTACATAAATAAACCCAGCTGACATGTCCGCAGTGTGTGTTGGCTCAGTGGTTTGGCCTGTGGCCTCACGCCAGCAGGGCTATGCGTGTGATTTCTGCCTCTGCACATGCAGTGTTTGCACGGTCCTCTCCATATTTGCGCAGGTTATCTCTGGGTACTCCTGTTTCCTTCCACAGTCCAAAAGAACACATTTATTATCATGCCACTGGTAATAACAACAAAAAAATTCAGCTTGCATTTCACGTCATTTCACATGTCATGCCAATTAGACCCACACAGATGTATACAGCGGAGCTCAGAGAGCTATGTCAGCCACTTATTCCAGTGTCCCTGGAAGCTATGTCAGCCACTTATTCCAGTGTCCCTGGAAGCTATGTCAGCCACTTATTCCAGTGTCCCTGGAAGCTATGTCAGCCACTTATTCCAGTGTCCCTGGAAGCTATGTCAGCCACTGGAGCAGTTGGGGTTAAGGGCCCAGGAGCCTGACAGTGATTTGATTACTGATCCAGCCACAGGATTTGAGCTGGAAACCCACTGCACTCAACCCGCAGAGTCGCACGCTGCTCCATTAAACATGGGATCACAATAATCCTATAGGTGCACAGCCGTGGGTTTGAAACCCACCCCTTCTCTACAGTTTGCCCATTCTCAGTGTCTTTCTGTCAACTTACTTCTAAGATCCTCCCAAACTTCCAGGTGATATTCAGGTAAACTGGTGACTTTCCAAAGTGACAGGAACATCCCTGCCCCTCCCCAATATTTAATTTGGCTTCATTCATCCCCCAGTAAACAGACTGTTGTATTTCAATTATTGTGTCTCCCTTAATCTCAAACTGTGAAAGTCAGAACTGGCCAACTAAGGAGAAGACGCATGAAAATGTACACAACTGCGAGAAGCTCCTGCAGGCTGCAGGCTGCCTCATATTGCCCAAGCTGTTTTAAGTCTAAATACACATTTTGAAGCGTGGAAAACACAAGTGTGTACAACAGTTTACTTAGAACCTTCCTCCACAAGGTGGTCTTAACAAGTGGAACAGTTGCAGTAATTCCACTGGTAAATCATTAATTAGGCAACTACAGGTATCCCTCATTTAACGTCCAATCGATCCATTCATTTTAACGAGCATGACATATAATGAAAATAAAATCAGTGTTTTAATGCCGGACGTAGCAGCCGTTGTTTTTTTTAAATGTGTGGGCAGGTGGGGTGTAGCATTCTCAGCCGACAGAGACGCTGTACTGTGCATCGCTGGCTGACGTATAACGTGACAGTTCTGTACTATACTAAATGTTTTCATATTGTGCTTTAGTAATCCAAAATAAAGTTTAAAATAGGGCACTATCTGCAAAGTATCTAAAGTACTTAGTATAGTAATTAGGCATCTTCCACTACGGCAGGGCAGAGTAGCCTAAATGGGGGAAACCTGTATTTAAAAACTGCTTGTATTGACTTGAACTGGAAGCACCTGTGTGAGTATGCAGGCTTTTGAGCTGTTTTTTAGAAGGTTAATTTAATGCTTTCTTTTAACATTTAAGACAGCAGCTGCGAGAGATTAAGTCATTTGATTTAAATGGATGCTTCACAACAGATTTTGGTCTAATTCCATCGCAAAATCAACAGCTACTCTGACATTAGTTATGTTCAAATTCAGCGGCTGCATCAATCGAAGGACTTGGACCATGAAGGTGTAGTCTTTGTAGGCTGTGTTCTTTGAAGGTCAAACAGAGAGCGCTGTCAAATGGCATGGTCTGGCCTACAGAAAAATTTCTGTTTGCATCACCAGCTATTCCCGGCCTTACCCTTGAGTTACAAAGCCCTGCTGCTATTGCCTAGCCAGGACAAACTGCCGCGCAATAAATCATGGGATAGACTAGACTGCAAAGGATCCATCCCTCGCAAAGCCGGAAAAGAAGGACGCATTTCTAGACCAAATTTGAGCAAGTCTTTGTAATGGGACAGCCTTGTTGCACTGCAGTGATGCATTCGCTCTTCCCGTGCAGCCTTAGAAGGCTGCAGTCCCTGCTTTTGGACACAACCATTAGAGAGCCAATGAGATGTGTGTGGGAGAAGAGAAAGAGGGGGGTGGTCAGTCCATGTTGGAGGGAGAGTCACATGATCAGGATAACTGGGTTAATTCACTCTACCTGTTCCATATTCCCTTTGGGCGTATTGCTGCATCCCATTTGAACTCATAACCCAGAAATTCCAAGTTGCTAATTGGAAATTTCAACTGGAGTGCCCACTAAACTCGGAATTCCTACTCGGAAAGTTACACAACCCAACCTCAGAATTCAAGATGGCTGCACCTATTATCAACAGAACATAAAGCTGTGGTTTTATACTGTTTATTAGCATGTATATGTTTTATTTGTGGCTTATTAAATTGGTCATACACACAGTGCTGTCCAACCACCGGGCTAGAACTGAGGCCTGTTTCAGAAAGCAGGATTTCTTTCTTAGCTGGATACCTTGTCAGATTTAAGGTAGTCTGGGCTAAGTGTAAGTGAACAAAGATAAAGATCATTTAATTGGGATGAATTAAATGCAACAAGTTATCCGGCTAAGCAACAAATCCTGCTTTTTGAAACAGGTCACTGATATTGCTAAATAGCTTTCCCACTTGCTCTACTGGAAAGCGGTTACCTCGGGTGTGGCGTCATTCCTAGCTCTGACATCCGACCTGCAGGGTAAATGGAACGCAGCATATCAATTGGTATGTTCTGAATAGCTTCCTCCTAAACACCTGCCCTGTCAGTTCCTAGAGCTAAATAGTATAGCTCAGGGTCTCTCAACCCAGCCCTTGAAGACCCTAAAATGATCCACATTTTTGCTCCCTCCCGTCACACTCGAGAACACCAAATACGTAGCCACCTACTTCAGGTGTATTGGGAGCTGAGAGATAGTAAAAATATGGACTCTCTTGGGGTCCCTGATGACTGGACTGAGAAACACAGGTCTAGTTCAATCCCTCCTGCCCAAATTAAATATGTTTTGCTTGTGTTTCCTTGCACAGAATTATTTTGTTGCTCCTACTTCCCTTGGAGCCACAACCATCCTAGTTCTGATTCCATCTTTTTCCTTAAAAAGACTTTTGGTCCATGGGCAGTTCCCTGGTTCTTTAGATACCCCTGTTTGAGATGTTTCAATGCAGAGAAATCACAGGTGGTTGTGAATGGCCTTCTCAACAATGTGTTAAAAACTGAAATGCTTTTAACAAGTGAATTGAACGGCAGTTAAACTTTTGAATTTTCTGAGATAACAGGGACTAAAGCGTGTTTTAAGGCATGCCGCATTTACCTGCATTCACTTGTTCCATTGTTAAAAAAACCTCATTTTTAAATATAAATTTCGGTGTAATTCTGTAGGTTTCTTTTCAGGTGTAAGACTTACGTCTGAATTACTGCTTACAAGGTACGTTAAAGTTTGGGCTCCGGGAACTCAAAACGATATGTTAATTTGCC